AGAAACACATGTGTTCAAAGCAAAAATCTCGTAAAGATCAAATTTTTTCAAATTCTATTCCATTCTTTTAACCCTTTAATGGGCAAATTTTGGTTGGTTAAGTTCTGTCGATACCGATGAGGCATTCAAATAGACCATAAAGCTACATTATCATGCCTGAGAGCCAGGTCGACAATACTGAAGTACTGTACGTGTGATATCAGTATTGTTGGCGTATTCATCCGGTTTGCTTACAACACATTGCACCATCATCTGCTTGTTTTGTATCAAACGGATGACGCAACAATCACGTACTATACAAAATAAACAACAAGACCACTGTTACAGAAAGGACAATTCAAATATAAGTCATATTTGAAACAAAGTACATGTTCAACCTTTCAGTGTGCTAATGCTTACCTAATCTCTTTTCGAGGTGAAAATTAATGATAACCGTCTACAAAACTTCATTTTAAGGAAACAGACAGATACTGCTACTTGAACTAGAGTAGCCAGAAATCAATTCCGTCTATGTAGTATCATCTTTCTTTCTACAAGAGTCATTGATCCTAGTTTATTATAGTTCTGTAATCGAAAACAAAGAAAGTGATACATATGTGTGCCACTGCCCATTAAAGGGTTAAATGAACATAGATTTCTTGTGTATACTGTAACATACAATAGTACTACACTTCGAATGTTATCCATTTTTGATAATATTCATGTTTATGTATAGCTTTGATGATCGTTTAATAGAAATCTTTTATTCATTTTATTTAGTACTTCTCAAAGATCAATTAATGGAATGGATTTTTTTTTCCATATGTAAATGAATTAATCGTGAAGACTTTCTGCAATCAAAGGTCAGTTATCTTTCAATTGTTGATATTTCAATGAAATTATTTGTTCCGTAATCATTATTAACAAAGTTAATAATTAATAATGATAACATGATTAGTGTAGGTGAATTAAAAGAAATATTAGAATTAACTGATGAAAATGGAATATTATCTCGTGATATTCAATAAAACAAGAATAATCTTGCAACTATAATAAATTGACAAGTAAGTATATTAATGAAATGCATTCGTTCGAAATTGTTTCTTCCATATCTAATGATTTTTTTTTTGTTTAAAAAAAAATTCAAATTAGATTTATAATGAATAAAATCCTAATAGTTGTAGAGAAGTAAATCAAAGTCCAATGAGAAAGTTTATTCTATATAATAACAAGTTTTCTATTTGATTGAGGGTGTGGATGGTGTAGGTATGGGTGTGCATCTTTCTACTGTATAAACCCACACCCACCCGATATTTCTTGACAGCAATCTAATCGTAAAATAATAATGCAGTATCCATTTAGTCCATTAAGAAATATGAGCCGATTTATTCGTTTCGATACACATTTGCTTCAATCTTTATCTATTTTGAGATGTATCACAAATCAACTTTGACACCAGCTGACAATACCAAAATATTAATGATATAATAAATGAACTGATAAAAATAATCAATATATATGAAGTACCTGAGTGAATTGTTTTTTCACTTGCAATTATAGGCTTTAGTACGTATTTAACTCAATCGAAGAATGCCAATAACATAACAAACTTTTTTTGCACCAAAATTTAATTAGATTTTAGGTGAAATCAAGGTATTAAACGTAAAAAAACTAATACTAATCATTAATATGAACATCTGCATTGATGTCTTGTATCGATGACTTGAATATTGATGTATTGATAAATTATATTGTCTTCTCTCTGTCTCTTACATTATCCTATTGTATTATGATTATTTGCTTGTCACTATATGGCATCTTAATCCACTTCTTTCATTGTTCTTTTCGTTTCTGAGAAACATTTTTTAAATAACTTTTTTTCTTTTTTTATGGCAAGAAAACACTCTTTGACGTAAAGTTCGTAAAAAAACGATAGAAAAAGATTTGAAAATAATACGTTTGAAAGAAAGGAAGCAAAAAAATCGACGAAGAGATACAAAGTTAGATGTATCACATTATTATTTCTATTCATCATCCAATATAATGTTTATGAGATATCATCAGAAATACGTTAAAACTAAATGTTTGATAGAAACATTATTACACCTAGAAACATTTCAATATGATATTAGCCAGTTGGATATTAGTTATTTTTGCCTGAGATGTTTTCATCTTGATCTTCCAAACCCATATTTGGCCTTTAATGAGAGTTTAGAAAAAAAAAGATACTTTCATCAGAATAGGTGTGGTTTTTAGTTGAGTGAGTCTTGGTTAGGATCAGAATACAAATAAAGTGTCATCTTCGCATCGTTGAGCAATAAGAAACCATTTTCTAATATTTATTGCTTCGAGTTTTATTAGCTCTCATTCGTTAGACAACAAATCAAGAGTGTAAAGTTGTGCCTTTCTTATCTTTATCTTCAATGTAAAATTATATTGTTCTATCTAATTTTCTTTATAATTGCTATTGAATTAGTGTATTGTTTCATTTCTTTTTCTCTTTGTATACACTTCACAGCAATTGATAAGACTCTGTTTCATGTAAGCGAAGAAAGTCGACATAAACCTAATCAATTTTATATATGATTGCAACTAATTACTACTCAAGGAGAATGTACGTGAATATTTTCAATACAATCACTTATTGAACTATTTTTTAGTTAACCCTTTACGGCCGGCTCCTAGAAGCCGTTAAGAAAAAAATTCTTATGATACATATTTTTTCTTGTTTCACCATGAGGATGATCATATTTAAATTTGAGGATTAAAGAATTGATTTATAACTAAATACCACGATGTTGCCTTTTGGCAACATCCGGCCGTAAGGGTACAAAAAGTTGAAAAAAGACAATTATTTTTCCTCGATGAAAGACCAATAATTTNACATAAAATAAATAAACTAAAAACAAGTGTATTTTATTTTTGATTCTTTTACATAGCTGTTGGCCAAGGAATCTACTTTGCAACACAGGCTATGATCAGTCATGGTTATACTCAGCCTAATGTAGATAGACTGAGACATATGTTCATGGGTGAAAATATTATGTTTCATTCAATTCAGTATTTTTTGTTCTCTAAAAAAATAATTAATCGTAAAATGTTATATGAATTTTATTCGAAAACGATAAAATACATATTAATGCAAAAAGAAGAGTAATATTTAGAAAAAAATACATAATTATAAGTTGGAGATTTTGGTCTGATTGAATTCTTTCACAATCGAAAAAAATACTAAAATAGAACTTAAATTTGTGCTTTGTAATTTCTAATAATTTACACTTGGAAAATTGGTTAGATTGATTTCTCTTTTTTTTTTTTTTAGCTCGTGTGTTAGTCGGGAGAACAACTACAGGTAGTTCATCAACACGTGTTTGTCCTTCAGGTTTTGATACAACAGGTGGAGGAAATGTTTTTGTAACTTATCATGATGCTCAAGCTTATGGAGAATATTTAATAGTCTATAAATGATACAAGTTTTATGCTTATCTTTTATATTCTTTTTCTGTAACTGAATTTTTTTATACTTTATGATAAAAATGTTATTTTCATACTTTGTTTATTCTTATATATATATATTATTAGCTGCCGTTTATTCTATAAACATGATTGAATAGATAATTTCAAAATCGGAAATTTCTATATGCTAACTATCAATCAAAATTGTCCGTTGTTTGAATGATAAATTAATTATTAAGTCGCATACCTATTTGATTGAATAAAATAGATGTTTTTTTTTATTTTTATTTGCTATTTCAACTTATTATGTGTTGAAATCATTGAAAACTACGAATGAAAAATTAAATCTTACATATTTATGAAAAAAAATTAGCTATATTAAAAAGTAACGAACAATATATAAATTCACTCAACTGAATTATTGAAAAAAAACATTCGAAGCCAAATGATTATTTCCATTGAAATTATAGTCGAACGTCGCCATCATAATAAAAATCAAATCACTTATATATATTTATTTAACTTACATATGTCTATAATTTCATAATATTTTTGTTTAGTATTGCATTAATATAATTTCCTTTCTTCAGATTAAGTTACTTGTATTTTGTCAACATGCATTACTGCTATGTCAGCTATGAATATTGAATAGAACAGTATGTATATGTCAGCGTCCAAACTGAGATTACGTCCAATCTCAGATTGGCCTAGGCGAATGTCGGATCCGACATTGGACGCGTCCAATCTCGGATTGATGCAATTCTGTTCACTAAAATATCAATTACTTTTTAGATAGACGTTGGATTCGAATTGGTTTTTGGAGTTATGCTCACACAATGCCTGTTTATTTGGCACAATTGTCATTTGGTAGATTTTAGTAAAATTTTAGGAGCTATGAATAAATTTCTAGAAAACAACAACTTTGATGAAAATTTTTTATTAAATTTTTGAATCTAAATTTAGCTTCTTCCTAAATGCTTGTATTACTTAAAACGGCATTGTGCGAACATGATTTCAAAAAATAGTTCGACTCCAACGTCTATCTAAAGAGTAATTGATTTTTTAGTGAACAGAATTGCATCAATCCGAGATTGAACGCGTCCAATGTCGGATCCGACATTCGCCTAGGTCAATCTAAGATTGGACGTAATCTCAGTTTGGACGCTGACATATATAAGTGATATTAAGATATAAAGAGGAATCGAATGTATACGGTAGATGACACTAGTATTCAATCCAATTTTAAGTGTAATTGATATTTGATGCAAAAATGGTATAAAAAATATTTATATTAAAGTATTTCAAAGAAATATTTTTCATGAAAATTTTGAAAATAAGATATGTCATTTCGAAAGTAAACAAGAAAAGCAATAAAAATACGCAATGAATAAACAAATAAACAAAATTATTGAACATTAGTCAGCATAGACTTTTCTTCAGTTACGGGAACATTTACGATTCTTTTCTTTTCTTTTCTTCGGTTAACTGTCAAGATCGACAGCTAGTCCTTTGGGAAGATTATGACCTTGTAATAGTTCTTATTTAGATTAGAATCACAATTAAACATGGTTGCTGCATATGGACAACGACAACGAGTATAAGACAAAAAAAATCTATTTCTTTATTTCTTTAAAATTTTTTTTGTATATTTTCATAGAGTAAACTTCGTTTTCTCATGGGTATTAATGGTCTATTATTAGCTCTTGCTATCTTTATTATCATTTCTATGTCTATTTATTGGGGCTTCTTCGAAGAATGGACTATTTGGACAGATTATACTATGGCTTGGGTAGAATTCATTTAAACAAAAGGAATCTATATATATATATAATTAAATCTATTTTAGGTTGAATTTAATTTTTTCATCTATTATTGGGATCGTTTGACTATCACTCGTGTTTATCTTTCATTTATTTACATATATGGTTTTGTTCTTTTTACTAGTAAATTATATATTTCATAAGAATTTATTTATGAAAAGTACGTTTTTTTTTTTTGTGTATTTTTATTTTAGTTATTACATTACAAATTCATGGTTATCGTCGACGAAATATTTTTCTTATGGAATATGTTCCTTATTCATTATTTTGTTTAGCTCTAGTAACAATTATTGGTGGTTTATGTTGGTTTGCTGTAACAATGATAAATATGAATGCTGGATTTTTAACAAAAGAAACATTTTTACTTGAACGACTTCGTTTTCGAGGTAATGCTTTTAAAGAATTAAAATATCGTGAACAATCATTTCATTTCGTTACATCGAATAATGTACCACCACGTGTTTTTATATTAACTGCCTTTGTTAATCAGTAAGAAAGACTTTATTTGTCTTCAAAAAATAATATTACAAAAAAAAAATTCTTTTTCTTTAGACGTCAAAGAGATTTTCAATGTTGTGGTTGGAATTCATATCTTGATTATGCAGTTTCATATAAAACAGATTTACCAGATACATGTTGTCATAAAGTTTGTATTTTATTCCGTTTTTTTGTTTTTCATTTTATCTAATTCATTTCTTGATTTTGTTAGTATCAAGCAGTTTATGGTTGTGGTAAAAACATGTTAATTAATCCTGATCCAAATATTGTTAATACACGTGGATGTGGTCCATTAATGAAATATTGGTATCGACGTGGTTTTTGGGAAAATATATTTATGGGTTTATTTGGAATATTTATTGGTATTTATATGGTATTTGTATTTCAATATAATTATAATGAATATATTCAATTACGTGATGAAGCTGATGATAAAAAACGTATTTTACATTCACAATCTATGGCATCATTTCGTTCAATGAATAGTAATGTATTAAAACATCCAATAAAAAATAATTTAATACGTCATCCATATACTGGTATGCGTGGTTCACCATCAAATGGTACAGCTACTGGTTATGATTCCGATAATAATAGTACAAGTGTACTTTATCAATCACGTGCAACATTTAATCCAAATCCTTAATACAAAAATTGATTTTCTTTTTTTTTTCTGTATATACACATTTAAAATGTAGTAGTTTTCATCAGATATTTGATTTCAATTTTTTGTATACGTATTTAATGCAATCTTTTCTGTCAGATATTTTATCTTAATTCATTGCTTTTCTTTTATGTATATAATCAATGACATTCCATTTATTAGTATGTTGTTTTGTTGTTTTTTTTAGATGAAATGTTAACTCAACATGAATACGATAATATTTCATCTCAAAAAAGTTGTTACAGTAGTGATACAAATGCAACAGTATCAATTATACAAAGATATTTAACAACAACAACAGCATCTGTTGTTTCGTCATCACGTATACAAAATGCCACACCAGAAATTAAAGTTAAACCATGTACAAAAGAATTTCTGGCAAAACATTATAATGATGTAAGAATTTAAAATAATATTTGATTTTTTTTTTTTCAGAAAAAAAAAAAAAACAAAGATTTATTTTTATAATTAAAAGGCATATCCAATGTTTAAAAATCCTCGTGGTCAATGTTTAATTGTAAATGTATATAATATAAATGGAGCTATACGTCGTTGGTCGGATTTAGATGTGAAATTATTAAGTGATCTTTTTCGTCAATTATATTTTAATGTAATTGTTTATTCTGATTTTAATGGAGATGATCTTGGAGCAGAGGTTCGATTTGTACTTTTTCTTTTGTTTTTTTTTTTTTTTCAATTTCTAATTTATAGAATTTTATGAAAATTCTTAAACATTTTTCTCAATCAAAAGAACATGTCAATGCACAATGTTGTATTATTTGTTTGATGAGTCATGGAGAAGAAGGTTCATTAACAGTACAAGATGGAAAAAAAGTTTGTTATTGACATTGTCTTTATAGATATAAAATGATTTATATATATATATTTTTTTTTCTTATAGATTTATCATGATCATGTATTTGATCTATTTAGTAATGTAAATTGTCCAAATTTAGCTGGAAAACCTAAACTTTTTTTTATTCAATGCTGTCGTGATGGTAAATAGATTTTATTTTAATAGAAATAGAATAAAGCAAATATATTTTGTGAAACACTATCTTAAAGAATTGTTGATGTTTAGAAGTAGAAATTTCGACTCCCCATAGTTGTGATAGACACGTTAGAGGCAATCTCTTCCCCTCCTCTTTGCATGACAGACTGTAGCATACGCTGTTGATATATGATGAAAGATTGCATATAAAAATGTGTCATTATAAAATACATGAACTATTTCCTTATTGCATTTCTGAAGGATTAAGTAAAATGATGGCGAAGAAATGTGTCCCAAGATAGATAGCATAAAACAATTTCACTATGATTAGTAACAGCAGCTACATCTTGTTTCACATTTTAATCCCGTAGGGATTGCATTAACAGCTTTTCTTTTATCTTGAAGATCCTGGAGTAGGTCCAGTTGATGATGCTGGTTGCCATGTTCAAATACCGTCAAATGCATCATTTGATGATCTAGTTTTTGATAATGATGATGAATGTGATAGTATGCAACGACATCATTTACCTACAATGACTGACATGCTTATAGCTTTTCCTTCACAAAAAGGTATCATTTTTTTTTCTGTCTAATTATTGATGTATTAAAACGATAAATTTAAATATAGGTTTTACTGCTTTTCGAAAACCACATGTTGGTAGTTGGTATATGAATGCTCTTGTTGATATCTTAGCTCGACATGCTAAAGATACAGATCTTTGTTCAATGCTTAATATGGTTAATGGTTGTGTATCACGTGAAGTAACTAATAAAGGAAAAAAACAAACAGCAGAATATAAATCATCATTTACAAAAAGAGCATTCTATTTTTTTCCCGGTATAAATTTAATTATATTTTTTTTTTTCAAAAATTTCGTTTTTTTTTTCTTCCTATTTTATTAAGGTTTAACTGGAAATCCAATGGCACCAATTGATTATTGTAAGTTAATGTTATTGTTATATTTCATCTTGTTTAGTTTCAGTTTTGTTTTTCTTGTATTAGCTATTCATAATCGAAATGATGTAAATAGAAGAGAAACAATAACAACAATGAATAATAGTATTGATCATCAACATGATAGTTCATCAATGACTTTTGATATAATAAAAAATTTTTTCATTGAAAATCTTCTTGATAAATGGAAAAGTCTTGCACGAGAACTTGATGTTAATGAAAATGATATTGATATTATTTCACGTGAAAATATATCATTAAAAGAAAAATTTTCACTTGTAAGTTAAGTAATACTAAATATTCTTTCTTGTTTGAAACGAAAAAAATTTTTTTTTGTTTTTGGTTTAGGTTTTAGATATTGTTGCTAAAATACGTCATAATAATTTACATCAAATACTCATTGATATGCTTAAAAGTTTGCAACAATGTCGACGAATGTCATATTATTGTACAAAAAATATTTTTTATTTTTGTATCTATTAAGTTATTATTTGTATTATTTTATTTTTAGATCAACTTCAACAGATGATTGCACCATATTATCCAGATTTACAATAGATGTATTCATCCGTCCATAATTGTTCATTTTGTACATGATTGTGAAATGTGTTTTTATAGTTTGTCTTTTTTTTTTGTTTTTATCTATTGTCATACTATTATATAACTGTTGTGTTGTTGAGATAGTCCCCTATAATAATAAGAAAAAAAATTGAGGGAAGAACGAAAAAAATGACGCGTTCAATAAATCATATTTTCTCTTCTCGCCTATTGTGAGTATTATATGGGTCTAAATGCGACTGCCAACATACAATAAATTGCTTCTTCTTTTGTCATAATAGATTCTTTTTTTTTTCTTTCAGATATTTGTTGATCGATAAAACAAAACGTGAACGATGGAAGACGAAAGACCTGCCAAGGGACCAAAAATCGTACCGGTATGCAAAATCTTATTTTCGTTGTTTAACACTAATTTATAATTTTTTCTTTTATTTAGGTAAAAAATAAAATGCCGGCATCGTAAGTTAATTTCATTGTTTTATTTTTGAATGAGGAAAAAAATTAATAATATTTTCTTTTTATTGAAAATTAGGATTCAAATAACAGCTGAACAATTATTACGTGAAGCAAAAGAAAAACAACTTGAATATGTTGCACCACCACCGAGACAAAAAATTAGTGATCCAGAAGAATTAGCTGAATATCGAATGAAAAAGCGAAAAGAACTTGAAGATGCTATAAGAAAAAATCGTCTGAAAATGGTTAATTGGGTTAAATATGCACATTGGGAAGAATCACAACAAGAAATTCAGCGTAAGAAAATTATTAATATAATTTAGAAAACAACCAAAATGACGTATTTTCTTATTTTAGGTGCTCGAAGTATTTGGGAACGTACACTTGATGTTGATTATCGTAATATTGCCATTTGGCTCAAATATGCCGAAATGGAAATGCGTAAATAATCACCTTTTATTTTCTTCGATAATTAAATTTTTATTTTTATTTTAGGTTACAAACAGATCAATCATGCACGTAATATTTGGGATCGAGCTATTGCTATATTACCACGAGCTAATCAATTATGGTATAAATATACATATATGGAAGAAATGCTTGGAAATGTAGCTGGTTGCCGACAAATATTTGAACGTTGGATGGAATGGCAACCAGATGAACAAGCCTGGAATACATATATTAAATTTGAATTACGTTATAATGAATTAGAACGTGCACGAATGATATATGAACGTTTTGTTGTAACACATCCTGAACCTAGAAATTGGATACGTTATGCTAAATTTGAAGAACAAAATAATTATGTTAAATCAGCACGACGTATTTATGAACGTGCTATTGAATTTTTTGGTGAAGAACATTTAAATGAACGTTTATTATTAGAATTTGCAAGATTTGAAGAACATCAAAAAGAACATGAACGTTGTCGAATGGTATATAAATATGCACTTGAACATTTACCTAAAAGTTCATGTGAAGATATATTTAAAGCATATACAATACATGAAAAAAAATATGGTGATCGTACTGGTATTGAAGATGTTATTACGAGTAAAAGAAAATTTCAATATGAAGAAGTAAAAAAGAAAATTATTTGAATTAGAAACTTAGTTTTTTTTTTGTTTTTGTTTGTTTCATTTTAGGAATTAAAAGAAAATGCAATGGATTATGATACATGGTTTGATTATTTACGTTTACTTGAAAGTGAAGGAGATTTTGCTGTTATTCGAGAATCTTATGAAAAAGCTATTGCTCAAGTACCACCTATTCAAGTATGCTTGGTCTTATTTTCTGAATAGAATTTTTAAATGACTAGAATCAAGATCATAAACAAAATATTCGATTTTAGCTATTTGAAATATGAGTAAAATCAAACTTTCACCTTTTCAATTTAAAAAACTAGCTTAATAACTACATCAGATAGATCTGTTTTTTCTTTGTAAAAACTGCTCTTTATTAAGTTGAAATTTTTAGAAATAGATGATCAATATTAATTATGCAAAAGAAACAACATTGTTTCATTAGTATGATTTTACTTCTTCAATTATGATTGTCTGCTTTATCTATATCAGTATATTAATATCAGTTCCAATTTAATTACTAATTGTATAGGTTTTTCATTCGAATATCAAAACTAATTATTCTCTTTCTTATTTTTTTCTTCATCAATAATAATACTTTTTGGTCAATGTAAGAAATAAGACTTTCATTAACTGAATTAAATAGATAAAAAGTACAATAGATTATTGTCTGAAACTTTTTTTTCATCTATTTGAAATATTCATTTTTTAATTGTTCGTTGAATTGATTAGGAAAAACGATATTGGCGTCGTTATATATATTTATGGATAAATTATGCTTTATTTGAAGAACTTGAAGCTGAAGATATTGAACTAACACGTGGAGTTTATAAAGCTTGTTTAAATTTAATTCCACATAAAAAATTTACATTTGCAAAAATCTGGCTTTATTATGCACAATTTGAAATTCGACAAAAAGAATTAACATCTGTTCGAAAAATTCTTGTAAATGCTTTAAATATAAATTATTTTTATTTTTTCATTGAATTATTTTTATTTTTTAGGGTACAGCCATTGGTTTATGTCCAAAAGATAAACTTTTTCGTGGTTATATTGATTTGGAAATTCAATTAAGAGAATTTGATAATTGTCGAAGATTATATGAAAAATTTCTTGAATTTGGTCCTGATAATTGTACTACTTGGATCAAAGTAACAAAAAAGATCTTGCATTTTTCTTATCTTTTATATATTCTTGTTATAAATAGTTTGCTGAATTGGAAAGTATTCTTGGTGATACTGATCGTGCACGTGCTATTTATGAACTTGCAATTGAACAGCCAAGACTAGATATGCCTGAATTATTATGGAAAGCATTTATTGATTTTGAAATTGAACAACAAGAATATGATCGTGCAAGAAAATTATATAGTAAATTACTTAAAAAGACTCAACATGTTAAAGTAAGAGAAAAATTCTTTTTGTTTTGTTTTCAAGTTAAGATAAAATCTACAATTATTATTCTTTTGTTTCTTTTTTTTCTAATTAAAGGTTTGGCTTAGTTTAGCACAATTTGAAGCATCAATTGATGAATCAGATTCTATTGATCGTGCACGAGATGTATTTGAACAAGCATATAAAACACTTCGAACAGCAAATGATAAAGAAGAACGTTTAATGCTTGTTGAACATTGGTTAGAATTTGAAGTAAAGAAAAAAACAATAAAAACTTTTAAACAAATGTTTTACTGTTTTTTCTTTTTTTTTGTTTTTCTCGTTTATAGAAAGAAAGAGGTACACAAGAAAGTGTAGCTCGTGTTGAGAAATGTCTACCGAAACGTACTAAACAACGTCGCAAAATTCTTAGTGAAGATGGAGTAAGTTTATTTGTATTATATTTCGTTTTTATTATTTCTATGATTGAAAATATTTTTATTTAGACTGATACAGGTCAATGGGAAGAAAATATGCAACTTGTTTTTCCTGATGATGAAGCTGTTCAACCTCATTTGAAATTATTAGCAATGGCTAAACGATGGAAAAAAGGAAACGACGATGTTCCGACATCAGCAAATGAGACTACAAATAATCATGCGTCAACAACAAGAACAACAACAGAAACAGAAGACAATGATATTCCTCTACCAGAATCACGTATTGATGATGAAGAAATGAACGATGAATCTTAATATGTCTTTTTTTTTGTTTGTATAATTAAATACATTTGTGATCTATTTTGGTTTCATATCATATGAAATAGAACCCTGTGCATACAGCAAATATCTTATTATGTTCTAGATTATTTATTTGTATCGAATGCCGAAACAACGTCTACAAACAACGACATTAAATTCTGCTTCTGGAAATACTTCAAGGCGTCATTGTGATACTGTATCTAGACCTAATGCAACATCAGATAATGAAGATGTAATTCCAATTCCAATACAAATTTTTCTATGGCGACAGAGCAAGTAAGTTGATGATTTTTGTTCACGAAAGAAAAAAAAAAGTAAAAAAAACAAAATTTTTCTTTCGCATTTTTAGTCCATTTATCAAACAAAAGTTTGGTAATCTAACTGATGCATCTGCAATTGTAAGCTAAATACATATACATATATTTCAGTTTATAAAACCTATTTTCTATAATATTCTATAGAGTTTTGACCGAGTTCTTGTTCAAAACATTTTACATGGTTTATCACCCAGTCTTAGTGATGCTATAGCTAGTATTCCAAGATGGTTATTAATCAAAGTGGTTAGTTTATTTATTTTTCAAAAAAAAAACAAAATAAATAATTAAATAAAAATATTTTTCAGGCATTTCCACATGTAATGCATGCATGTTCAGCTGGGATTGAACATAGTCTTCATTCAATACAACAACAACCAACAACTAGTGGTCATCCATCATTACTAGTTTCATCATCCTTATCTCTTTCACCATCGGCTTCATCACAACTTCAAGTTCCAACTAGTCTTCAATTACCTCTTAATACTCCTAATCTACCTCCACCTCTTGTTCCATTAACTTCCACAACTCTTTCACCAACAATATCTGGTGAACATCAATCTGGTCATCCATCATTATTTCGTCTCTCATCAGCGGCACATAGTACAAGTAGTTATTCATCATTAACAAACAAATTAAGTCCAACTGAAATTCGTCTTTTTCATACATTACATTATCTCATATTAGATTCTCGTAGTCAAAATAATGATACATCTATAAGTACTGATCAACTTTTACCATTAACTACAATACAATTATTTATTTATTTATTTATTCCATATATTCATACATATTTACAAAGTAATGAAAAAGAATTTTTATCACATCCTGATCTTTCTCAGGGCATGCGTCTTATATGGCAACCATTACTTGAATATCGTCAACCAAATATACGTATGTTTAGTTCATTTGTTAAACCAATTATACCATCATATGCATCACCAAATGAAAATGGTGATTATATATCAATAATAAATGAATCACAACAACAACAACAACAACAACAACAACAACAACAACAGCAACAGCAACAGCAACAACAAACATTTTATATAAATAATAATAAACGTAATCGTTTATCTGTGTTGGTTGAATCACCTACACCAATACCAACAACAAAAGCAATTCTTGAAGAATCTGAAGAAGAGCAACAATCTCAAGTTTCACAAGCACCACCACCACCTCCTTCTCCACCTCCACCTCCATCCCAACTACCACAACCATCAGCATTACCACCGTCTCAACCCTTAACAACAAACGAATTTATTCCACAATTACCAAGATCAATATCAGAAAAGCAACCATTATCTGATTTAACAAATCAACCAACAATGATGGCACCCATTGTTAGTAGTGAAGGAAGTAGTGTAAGTTTATTTCAACCACTAATAATAAAAAAAGATCAAAAGTCAACATCATCTGTTCTTGCTGATTCTGATACAACAACAAATAATTCAATAACTGATCTTAGTGCTTATGGAACATCAAATGGTACAAAACCACGAGCACCACTCGTACATATGAGTTCAATTTGTTCAATATCTGATTCAAGTCGTTTGACAACATCACCACAAAGTCCAGGTGAGATAAAAAAAAAATATTTTGAAACAAAAGAAATCTTTTAAAATTCTTATCTTCAATATCTCTATTGACTTTTTTAGGTGGTGATAAATTTAATATTTTACCTGGTGGTGCAGGTTCATCATCATCATCAGCATCAACACCATCTGTTCTATTACCTTTACATTGTTCTCAATGTCAACAACCTGTATTTGCTCCTAATCATCCACAAAATATTCCATATGTTTGCTCAAGTTGTACAGCTATAAAACCAACATCTACACAAAAAGTATCTGATCTTCCATTAAAACCAGCAATTCAAAAAGATTCAACATCAACAACACAACGTCAAAGTATTACAATACCAAAACCTCGAACATTTCAACGTTCATCTGAATTACTTCTACTTGCAACTTATTTTGATATTGGAATATTACGTACATTATTTAGTCCATCATGGTTAACAGATGGTTATTTATGGTGTTTAGAATATTTACATAAACGTATTATTGATATATCTGATGAAATTTTATCAGATGCATTAATGAGTGGTACATTACCAATAAATATTCTTCGTTTTAAAAGTCTTTCGATTCCACAATTAAATCTTGGTAATGAACAAGATTATTATGAATATTTAAAAAATATTTATTTTAATGAACAAGTTACAAATGATATCATTGAACAACAATGTATGATGGCTGGTACTGGTGATATAGCAACATCAGCATCAATTAAACAACCAGCTACATTATTAAATGTACCATTTAAATATTTTGCTGGAAGAAGTCCATATAATGGAAAACATAGTCAAAAATATGATAATTTTTATAAGAAAATAAGGTAAGAATACATCATAAGAATGATATTTTCTTTTCTGTAGCATTTTTTTTTTAAATATTATTTCTTTTTTAATATAAAAATAAAAGAGAAAAACAATTATTGGCTCGAGGGTAATATGAATAAAAAAAAAAAATGAAAATAATTTTTTTTTTCTCATTATTTGCAATAACATTCATAAGAATTGCAAATAGATGAGAAATAATATTTGGTTTTTTTGATTTCGTGTTTTTATATGTGGATGTTGATGCACTTTAACTTTTTTTTGTTTTTCTTTCTAATCATTTGTTTTTCTTACTTTTTTTTTTTTTCATTTCAGTAAAATTCGTTATATTGATGAAGAAGGTATTGAACATTTGGATTTGGCTAATGTTGATCGTCGAGATAATTTAGCAACATCATCATCAAAAACTAGTCGTCTTCATCTAACTGATCCAGGTTTATTATTACTTAAAACAACAACAATAAATCCTACTGATCGTTCTCTATTACCTACAACAACAGCTGGTACAGCTCGACAATCAGTTGATAGTCTATTAAATACTTCAAATCCTAATACAACAAAACTTACTACTACTTTACCAACAACTAATTTAAATACAATGAAAACTTATAGTGTTAGTGATTCAGAAATAAATTATAAATTTTTAGAAGAAATTGAAGAAGCACAAGGCTCAAGTGCATATATTAATCGAAGTGGTACAATTAATTTTGGTGTTGTTTTAGCTGGAATACATGCTGTTATATGTAAAGAACATCATTTAAAAGTTTGTGAATTAGTAATGAATATTCTCGATGTTTTACTTGGTTTGGCTGTTATATCATCATCAGAAGATGATTTACATAAAAAACAATTATTAACTATTGGAAATACTGGAACAACAAGTGACGATAGAGGTGATGAACAAATAGAAGAATGGTTAAAACAAATTGATGCAAAAGAAGAAGAAAAATTTCAATTAGCTGTGGATATTACACTTAGGTAAAGATTAAATATTATCAAGTTATTTCACATGTTCAAAAAATAGATTAGATAAAACAATCATATAAAATTTTCATTTTCACAGAGATCGGTTGATCTTTCCAGAGGAAAATTATTGAGCTTAATTGGTTTGTTAAGACATAGCAAAAATCAAGTAGAATGCAAATGAAAATGATTATTGATAACTGTTTGATACTATTTATATGTATATTTAGTAGCGGAGGTAGGAATTGCAAGTGAAGATTGAGTTTTCCTCCCTCGTCTAGGGGTTGGAACAATCTATCATTAACATTGAAAAATTATATCCCTTTTCAACTATGAACAGAGACTTAACACTTCCGAAAATTTTTTATCTTACTCTGCTACTAATGGCAATCAGAACGTATATTGTCTCAAATCTCAGTGCATGTCTTTAAGTTTTTATAGACTTTCATTTTATCTGATAAAGATCTGTTCATAACAAAAAAAAATATAAAGTTCAATAACAATCTACAAAATTGAAGAATTTCTTTGTCAAATAATTCGAATAGAAGGACTAATTGTTTTGTTTTTTTCTGATAATCAACAGATTAGGAACATAGAATAATTTCGTTTATATTCTATTTAGAATAATCAAACGATTAGGATGTCCACATTGTCAACCACGTGGGCGTAGTTTTACAGCTGATCAATTACGTGGTAAAGTACGTTTATCATTAAATAAACTTCGTATACTTAATCACCATCGATTTGAAAAGTATGTATATTATTCTGTCTTTCTTAATAAAAAAATTCTATTCTATTAGATATTTTCTTAATTTAACTCTGAATGGTGATCTTGTCCATATACTTGATATATTTCATGCATTATGTGGTTATTGTTCAGAATCCAATGTTGGTCTTGCTCATTATTCACCTTATAGTAAGACTATTTATTTGTTTTTTATTAAATTGAACTTTAATTTTTTTTTCTTGTTTTTTTTTCTTTCTAGTTCCAACAAAAGTTGATACACATTTACGGCAAACATATTCAAATAATTTTGGTAATACACATCTTGGTGTTGGACCAAAAGGTATTGATGGATTTATATTAAATATTATATTTAAACCATTTGTTACACGTCTTATAATGATGAAAGAATATTTAATGAGTTCAGAAAATGTTGCTTTATATGGTGAATGTCGAGCTTTTTTAACATGTATTAAAGAAAATCATGGTGGAATATTTCGTTTGGTAGTTTTTTCATCATTACTTGATCCAGAAAAAAAAATTAAAGCATTAAAACAACAAGAAATAAATACAAAACAAAAAACTAAAGTACCACATACTTTTACTCGACAAGATCCTGTTAATACTAATGGAAAAGGAGTAAATTTACCAACTAAATATATTACTAATTATTATAAAACATTCTTTTTTTTTTTTCTTTGAATAAAAGACTTCTCTTAATCGTGATCTATCAGATGATGCTGATCTTGATCGTCATGGAAGTACTAGTCAACCATTACCAACATCCGGAACTGATGATGCACCAGTAACAAATGCTGCATCATCAGCATTTAATATCAAATTAAAAAGTACACAAAAAAAAGTTTTTTTTTTCTTTGTTTTTTTTATATTATTTTATTTTATAAAATTAAAGCTATTCGTGCACGAACAGGATCATTAATGGGTGGTGATGATCATAGTTTATATACACATCAAGAAGAAAATTTATATGTTGATTTATCACTTGTTCGTCTCGGTTTATTACGTTTAAATTTTATGATGGAATCATGTCCACCAGGTTCATTACCTGATCCACAATTTTTAAATACACTTCTTACTTTGGTTTGTTTTTTAATTAAATTTTTTTTTAATTGAACTTCTCTTTTGTTTTTCTTCTCTTAGGATTCACCAGTTATATCAAAAGCAGCATATCTTGTTGAATGTGCTCATTTTGTTCGTCGTTGTTCATTAGGTCAATGGCCTGAATGGATGCGTATAAATATGACAACATTTCGTCCACATGAATCATTTGCTGTACGTGCAACTGGAAATATGAATTCAAGATTAAATAAATTATATCAAGCAGCTGCAGCAAGAATGTTTTATATATGGGGTGAAGTAAGTTATTTAAAGAATATTTTTTCTTGAAAAAAAAAAAAACAAACATATTTATATAAATAAATTCCTATGAAAGGCTCTTTCATCACAACTTGAAGCGATATTAGACAATGAACAACAACAACAAATAACAACAGATCATACGAATGAAACAGGAATAGGATTAGAGGGAGGAGGAGGAGTAGGAACGAATTTTTGGAACAGTGATGAAACATATGAAGATTATTATAATGAAGGTAGACATATATGGAGTTTCGTCTTGCATGTGTTTTCGTATTTTTCAGCTTCATGTCTGTATATATATATATAAATATTTGTGTGTATGTTTATGTATCGATTTTTGTTTGAATATAATTTAAAATTATATAATTTATAAATAATAATAAATATTTATTTTTTTGTCTTTTTTCAGCAATTGTTAATCGTTCAGGTCATGATTGTCCATATTCGTTACGTATTATGGCTTGTTTACTTCTTTATGAAATTACATCATTTTTACGTGAAGTATATGATACATTACCTAAACTATCATCATTACCACCAACAGGAGTTAATATTCGACAACAACAACAACAACAGCAACAACGTACAAATAATCAAGGAGCAAGTGCGCCAACAACTCTTGTTGAAACATCATCAACATTAACTGATAAACGTTCAACAGATCGTATGCGTATGGGTAGTGTTGTTTCTCAAATATCAAATAGAAGTTCAGCTTCACTATCAAGTGAACATCCAGCACGTATGTATTTTATTATTATTAATTTTTTTTAATTTTGTTTTACAAATATATTAGTTTCACCACAAGCATCATCAGCAACAATTCCACCTGTTTTAAGTACAATACCAGCAACAATAATAAATATAAATCCAACATTAGCTGGTGAACGACATATTAGTTTTGCTGTTAATAAAGAAAATGATTCAAATGAAAGTAATCATACAGCTCTTATTATAAATGATGATGATGGAGTTGTTGTTGTTGATGGAAATTCAACACCTATAGTTAATGACAGACGAAGTTAGATAATAATAAATGTTTTATTTTGTTGTTTTTTTTTAATGAATATTATTTTTCTTCTTAGTGTCTGTTGCCGCATGTAAATCAGGCAGTGTTACTGGTAGTACTGGTAAATCAAAATTAATTCGACGAAGTAGTGTTAAATTAAGAAAACCATCAATCAGAATGAAAGATACAGGAAAAAGTAAGAAGATTTTTTCATTGTTTGAAATTATTATCAAAAATTCATATTCATGTCCAATTCTTTTCGAAATATTCAATAGTCATGATATTAATACCGAGCTTATGAATAATCATACAGACATTAGACATAAATCATGTTTCATTGGTTCATAAAAGAGTTTAAAATGATCCTTCAAAAGGTGTACTATTGAAAAGTCGAAACGAAAACTATCAGAAATTGCAACTAACAATACATTGTTTATTTGTGACATAATAGTAACATTGTAACAAAGATCATACGCATAAGTCAAGAGATAAAGAAGCAAACGAATAAAATAGTAGTGCCATTTTTTCCGTTTAATAATTGTATAAGAGAAACCATCTAAATATTCTATTACATTTATAAGATCATGATGATGTTGTTCATCAAGATTATATTTACGATGTTGAATAGGAATTGTTTTTCTCTTGCATCAATAATATACTATAGACAGTTATAGGCAATATTTACTGGCGAGAATGTTTTTTCAATATGTATCTAGTTTCGATATTTTCGACCTTTCTATAATTAACACTTCAAAATAGTTAGACGAGCTATGAATTGAACAATTTTCAAAATAAAAAATTACTTTGTTTTTTTATAAATGTTAATGTTTCGCGAATAATTTCGAAGAGTTCCTAGGATTTATCTATTGATAGTATATAATACATATTTAACTACATCAAAAGAGAGCTAAAGTTGTAAAGTGTCATCCTTTTCCTTCAACAAGTTACATGTTCGAAGTATTATTCTTGTCTAGTTCTTTTCATTGAATCATATTTTTTTATGAATTAAGATAATCGTCGTTCATCTTATCGAACACGTCGTCGTAGTCATGCATCAAATATTTCATCTGAAACAGATGGTCATCAAAGTAATATAGGAAGTTCAGCTATGGAACCACCTGATGAATATTTAAATGGTAATGATGAAGATATTGATCAAGGAAATTTTGATGATATAATTAATACTCGACCATTTCCATGGATAAAGGTTGTTATAAGAATATTAAATGATGCTAATTTAACATGTGAACATCAAATAAAATGTTTATCAAATTGTTATGATAAACAAACAGCAAGTTGTAAAAATCTTATTCAAGCATTATTAAATATGTATCGTTTATCATCATTAAATTTACCAAATCTTGACTCATCCTTTTCTCGTTCATCATCATCAACACACAGATCAACTATACATTTGAAACGTAATGATACAACATCAAGTAAAAGTCATCATGATCCTAAAAAACGACGAGTAAGAATATAAAAATTCTTTTTCGTTCTTTAGTTTTAATAATATGATTATTGTTTTTGTTTTTTTGTGTAGCTTTCAACTTGTTTATTTGGTGAAAGTACTGGTCCAAATAATGATAATACTGCAAAAGGTATAAATACAAATAAAACAACAGATGGACTAACTTATGGTATGATTTTTGAAACAGCTGATCCACATTTTGATAAACAAATTAATTCACATTTTACTGCTATTGCTGCTTATTTGGAAAAACAAGTTAGTTTAACGCATTTATTCAGTTTGATTTTTTTTTTTTTGAAAATTTTTACTTCACTTTTTTTTAAAGGTTGGATCATTAACACAAGTACCATTAATGATACTTTGTAAATCATCTGTTTTATTAGAAGATGAACATTATTCACAAATACTTCATCTATCATGGGAACTTTTATTAGATCGTAATGAAGAATTAGCTGCTTGTGCTGGTAAAAAGAAAAATTTTCTATTGAAATTTTTTGTTGTTGTTAATTTACAAAAAAAAAAAAATTATTTTATTTCATTTATATAGCAACAATTGTTATTCTAACAGCTGCTCGTGCAAATCATTTAATTGATGCATTATTTCATACCGAAATGGAAAATTCTTCAGCATTAATTCGTTATAATGCAATATTAAAATTTCAAACATTATGGCGTTTTCGTTATCAATTTTGGATTCGACTAGAAGAAGGTGCACATTCAATGATGAAGGTAAAATTAACAAAGAAAAAAAAAAAAAAAAAAACTAAAATGAATATTTTCAAAATAAAAAAAACCTATATCTAATTAGATTCTTCCACCGAGTATTGAATTTGTTTTACCATCACCAGCACTTGGTATTTCTAATCTTCAAACAGTTGATCCACCATGGATGCCACATGCTAAAACACTTGTTCAACAAGTTGCTTTAAATCAAGAAGAAGTCGTATGTTTGATATTCACATCATCAAAAAAAAAATTAATTTTGTTTCTGAAAATTTTCTCATATAGAGAGCTGTTGTTACAGCAAGTAAAACACGTAAAAAACATCAACAAGAATTAATACATTCAGCATTAATGGCTGAAGAAACAAGTAAACGAGTAGCAAGAGAAAATTTTGCTATATCAACTGTACCAATATTACAATCGGCTTCATTTGAACCACTTTTACATCAACCAAGAGATGAAGAAGAAGAAGGTATGATATTATTTATTTTTCTTTGTTTATTATAAAATATAAATAAAAATATTATTGATTTTTGTTTTCTAGGACATACAGATGATGATCGATTTGTTGAAACAAGTATTCAAATACGTCAAGCACAAGGAACATTTCCTTCAGCATTTGGTGCAGCTATTTATCTTCTTGTTGAAATGTTAGAAGATGAAGAAATACTTGAAAATGGTGCAACAGGTTTGTTAGAAAACAAAACAAATTTTTATAATAGAAAAATGTTGAATTGAAATGAGTTAATATATCCATACAACTTATCAAATAATAAATATTTGATAAATGAAAATATGTTGTAACAGAACTATTAAGATAAATTTTTCTTTGATAAAAGAATAAGATGATCAACGCATAAGAAGAGAACTTCTTGAAATGTACAATGGGTGCAAGAAAAAAAAAAATCTTATATCATTAAGTGGAATCTAATGAAACTGAGCAAAATTTCTAAGCTTGTTGAGTTACGGTTATATTATTGAAATTTTTTTACCTAATGATAAATTGAAAGTTTCAGCAAGAACAAATATTGTCTTCTGAAGATATCATATATTTCAGAAAAACTCAGTTTTTTTTTGTAAATCTGTTATTGCAAGTAAACAATATTCGTTCTAACTAAAACTTTCAATATTGTGCTATAATTTATAAGATCTTTTTAAGGGTAAAGTTGTAACTCAATATGACAACATTGAATTTTTTATGACATTTCTTGTATTCGACCAGAAACTAAGTAAAACGATCATATCTCAAAAAAAGAAAGTATCAAAGACAAGAAATCATTAGAGGTTTTGTCTAGTCTCACCACCTAATACATCATCCCAAGAATTGAAGGCTCGAAATTCTTCTATCATTAATGATTTCGACTATTAATATTTTTGTTTTATTTGCACTTTATATGCAAAAATATTAATATTAATTCTTTTATTTTATTTTAGTATCTGAAGCAGCTCGAAAAGCTCTTTGGACATGTTTAGTTGATGAACCAACATTATTAATTCGATTTTTCTTTGAAAAACTTTCTCATAAAGAACGACGTGTAAGAAATTATTTTTCTTTTCTTTCTCTTGAATTTATGATTTTTATATCTGCTTCTATTTTTCATATTAGATAAAATCTCTTCAAAGTCTTCGTCGTCTTATGATATGTTTAACTGATATACCACCACAATTTGCTCATGCCGTATTTAATTATGTTCTTGGTTTATTAATGAGTATGGTACGTTCACCACTTGATGGTTCACAAGAACTAATTATAGCTGGTCTTACATTATTATGGCAAATAATTCCTTATTTACATGGTCTTGTTTTAAAAGATTTAAAACAAATTTTACGCAAAGAACAAGCTGAAATGATGATATTAATAACAGGTAATATTCCATCAACAAAAAAAGTTATTATACATGGTCCAGATTTATCACAAATTCCAACACAAGCCATTATACAAGAAGATACACAATTTAATAATGTTTTACAAGAAGCATTAGATTTTTTTGGTATACCTGATTCAAAACGTGATCGATATTATTTAATTGATGTTAAAACACAACAAATACATATTCCTGATACATATGTAAGAGATTTTTATTTTTTTCGTCGAAATATTTATCCACAATTATCATTAATACATATGGATACAAAACAATCACAAAAACAATTAGAACAAATGTCTATTTATTTAAAAACAACTGAATTATCAAAAGTTTTATTTGCTCGTTATTTAGTTGAAAATACACCATATAATCAAATACATAATTGTGTTACATTTTTTCATGATGAACTTATTAAAAGTCCATCATTTCCACGAAAACCATTGGAATCAGATTATAATCTTTATACAAGAATATCTGATAAAGAATTATTTAATTTAGATATGTTACATAAATATAATTGGTAAGTTAGACAAAACGACAGATTTCAGATTATCTAATCATACAATTATTATCGAGATATGAGAATAGACAACGTCAAAGAAAAAGAAGAGAAGAATACTTCTGCCTTTCGGCTATCTTGTGATATGGAATGTTGCCTAGTGACAGGTTTAGTAGCCTGATATCTTCTCTACAATTATGAACAGCTGTAACTTTATATAATTGCTTGACCTTCCCCATCCGCGCTAACTAACCACAGGAGAAGCCTGTATGTCACAGTGTAGTCAGCATGCTATTGAACAGGTGATTCGAGACAAACAGCCGTTAGTGACTTGTCCATGGTCATTTCATAGCTGGCAATACTGAGGTTTGAGCACAGTACCCTGTAAATATCTGTTGAAACAACATAACCACTCAATTATGACGGGATAATGTCAATGAAACAGATTTTTTTTGCTTATAAACAGCATTCAGTAATACTGATAAAAGTATGAACAGCATAGATGTTTGGACTATCCTTTTCAAGTTATACGTTTCTGATCAAGTTTAGAAAGGCATCGCTTTCCTGATCTATCTAAATCGTGTTAAAACATTAATTTTGATTGATTTTTGATAAATTTTAAAAATTCTTTATAACTGATATTTTTGTAATTGTTTTTCTACAAATAGATGTTTTTAACCGGGAGTCCGGAATTTTGGCCCAAGAATTTTTCGTCCCAAACTTTCGGCCCGGTCCAAAATTCCGGTGATTTTTCGGTCCGGACCGAAAATCCGAAAGAAATTTCGGTCCAGTTCTTAATTAAATTAAATTAATTAATTAGTAAACTTCATAGTGCTGAGCACCATGACTTTTCAAAAAATCATTCTGCTGAGCAGTATGACATACTGCTCAGCACTATGTCATACCGCTTAGAAACACGATTTATTGAATATTCATACTGCTCAGCAGAATGATATTTTGAAAAGTCATGGTGCTCAGCACTATGAAGTTTACTAATTAATAATTAATTAATTAAATTTCTTTAAGAACTGAACCAAGATTCCTATCGGACTTTTGGTCTGGACCGAAAAATCACCGGAATTTCGGACCGGGCCGAAAAGTTTGGGACGAAAAATTCTTGGGCCGGAATTCATGTAACCCTTTTTAACCCTGACAAAATTTCATTTTCAAATATTTTTGATTAATGTTTATTTTTAGGATCAAATTAATTGCATGTTTATTTTTCAATATGGATGGTAAAACAACTACAACATGGGATATAACTCTTTTTCTTAATGTAATCAATGGTGCATTTATTTTACATTGTGAAGATTTTGCTATGTTACGTTTTTGTCTTGCAATATATATCAGTACAGCTAAACATTTTCGACATATATTTGCTACAAATGGGTTAGTCAAATAATCTTTATATTTAAAAATAAAACACAAAAATTACTTTCTTCTTTTTCTTTTCTAGTTATCTATTAGTAATGCCAACATTTCTTCGTGTTTATTCAAATATTCAATCAAATCCAATGTTAAAACGAGCTATTGAATATTGTTGTAGACAATTTTTTATTTTACATCGTATACCATTTATATTACAAATGCTTGGTAGTATATCACAATTACTTGATTTTGATGAACAAGCCGATGTTACTGATACAAATAAAATTCAACCAATTCATTTATTTCGTTTATTAATTGCTTTAGAACAAACAAGTGTTGATGCTATGCGTGATGATTATTCTATATTAGAATTAGTTAAAGATGATTCATCATCAAATAAAACAACATCAATTATAACACCAACAACAATGCCTATTGCAAATATGACTGTTGTTGCAGCACTTGGTCAAGGAAATATGATTGCACCATCAACTATTAAAACTTTAGATTTTTGTTATGCAGATGATGATACAATTTTTACTTTACTTAATTGTATTGATGTTTGTGTTACTGTTGGTAAGTTAAACATTAAAATTCTATTATTAGAAAAACAACAACTTTTATTATCATATCGATGTATAATCATTAATGAAAGATAATAGTTTACAAATTTCTTAAGATTTTATTCAATCAATGAATAGAAACGAATTAAACAACTAGAAATAATTAAGAAAAATTAAAAACTATTCCTTTTTGACGAAGAAACATATCCAACTGTTAATTGTCGATTGAAATAATATTTTGCTCACAAATAGAACTCAATAAAGGTAGAAAAAGTCTAAACGAGTTTTCCTCCTCATAGATATTTCTTATGGAATTATGATCGTTTTATCGAGTTTTTGTCTTATGACGAAGTATTCATAGAAAAATTTCACAAAAAAAAAAAAAAAAAACTTCTATCAGAACTTTTGTTTATAAAAAGGTCTCTTGATCCTTAGGATATTCTGAAAATTTCAGCAAAATCAGATTGTTTCTTTTCAACATATTCAAGATCTAAAAATACAAACATATGTCACAAAAAAAAGTCATAAAGCTAACGTTTATTTAATATTCAAAGTCCTACTTATGAATAAAATATCACATCGATCAACGATTAATAGTTAGATATATTCCCTCATTCTTATTTGATGAATTTTTTTTTAAGAAAATTGCAAAAATCTTTCAAAAAGTAAAAACAGAATTTCAATATGAAGATTCTACTTCATTCCTTCTCTTAACCATAGACACTATCGAATGTTATTCAAGAGATCCATATCTGAAAATTGATATACAAATCATAATTGAGTCTGTGTTTCTTTCGAAATTCTTACAATTGTTAACTTCTTTTCGTCCGGTTCGATTTACATGAGTATCTAATAAAAGACAATCAATCGATGTTTCAAAATAATGAAATATGTATTTCTAAGTTTCAAATTCGAATCAATATTTCTTTCTTTCTTTTTATTGGTAGTTCAACTTTCATAGAAGTTGATTCTATAATTAATTAATTTGATATCATTATATATTTCTAGTTGCATATGCACCTGATTCAATTCGATCATTACAAATGCTTGGTATAATAGATTTACTTTTACCAAAATATTTAGAATATTTAAAAGATCGTACAAATAAAAATGATACTCAAAAACATGGTCGTGAAGAAATAAAAATAATTGAAAAATTATCCGTTGCTATTAAAACAATGATAAGTGCATCAGAATCTTTAACACGAACATTTGTTGGACCTAAACATGAAACATTAACAGGTGCAAGTTATAAACATTCACGTGGTTCAAATCGTTCACCATCTATTGTACCTGATGAAGATTCAATGAGGTAAAAATCTAATTTTTGATTTAGAAAAAAAAAAAAAAACAAATAAAATATTTTATTTTCTTATTTTAGTCGTTTTATTGATGATCGAACAAAAAATAAAGCTCAAGATGGTGATGAACATAAACAAGCATCTGAATTTCGTTGGCCACGTGATACACTTCTGTCAGTTATATCAACATTTATTCATTTTTCTACTCAACGTTTAAAAGAATTAAATAAATTAATTAATGATCCAACATTACGTATGCCAGAATTACTCGATGCAAAATCTCATACACGTCTTGCTGATATAGCACATACATTACTTAAATTAGGTGGTTATGATCCAATAACTATGTCATGTCGAGGTATACAAAATTATTTTCAAAAATTATTACCATGGACTAATTGGAGTCAAGAACAATTACGACCAGCATTAAATCTTTTATTAAGACGTATTGATAGAATGTTTTCAAAAATATGTAAAAAACCAATGACTAAAGTAACATAGAAGAAAACAAAAGAAAAACAATTGTATGAATACTCTTGTTTTTTTTTTTAGCGTTGTTTTGATTGGGAAGCAACAGCAGGAATTTTAAATGGAATTTATTTAACTATTGATCGTCATCCATATATTGCTTATTTTCCTAATCTTAAAGTAAAAATATTAAATTTTTTTTTTAACAGAAAAATAATAATAAACGAATATTTATTTTATAAATTAGGCATTGGTTTCAGGATGTATTGCACTTGTATTAAATGAAAATGTATCAGAATCAAGTCATAGTGTACCACGATTTGATACAGCGGCTTTTCCAAAAGAATTTTCTCGAGTTGTTATTAAACTTGTTGGAAGATATTTATTAGCTATTAAAGTAAATTAATAAATCAATATCGAATTGAATTCGATTATTCATTGTTTTTTTTTAATTTTTAATTTCTAGAATCAACCAAATTTAGAAGCATTAACTGGTAACAGTTGGTCATTTCCAAATGTACCGTCAGCAATAAATCATTTATTACATTTTCTTTTACCATTAATGTTTTGGGCTGGTAGTGGACGAAAAGATGCACCAAAAATTCATTCAACTGATATTTCATATATAATATCTATATTGCTTAATGCACTAAAACCATCATCAAAACTTGCATCAGCTATGGGTGCACAAGGTGGATCTGGAAGTGGGGCACCAGGACAAATAAGTAGTGGACCTGGTACTGGTGGAGGAAAACAACATTTAACTATTGGTGAAGCTATTTTACAAAATAGTAGTTTTACACATAAATCTATGCGACAATTAAAAGATCTTTTACAAACAGCATCTTTATTAGGTAAATCAATATTGATGATATAATTTTGTTACTCACATCTCTTCTATAACTTTAACAATATGAAGTATAAATCTATTGACGTATGAACGAGAGCGAGGTCTTTATCCCATTCACATGTCACCATAAAGAAACTAAATGTAGTAAAATTTATGAAAGTCATAAGACCTTGACAAGCCTTAATAAAACGGCCTAGATTCAATTTATTCTTAGCTCATTCTTCGGTCAATCTTTACATGTATTCTTTCTAAGTATATTAATGAAGTACTTAATAATGTATTTTATAAAGTATTCTAAAAGAGAAATTTCTGTATAGAAAGCCAGGTCATCAGTGACCTGCTCAAGAAAATTTTTATTTATGGGCAATTGTCACTATTTTCAAAAAAGATCTATGAACAGTCACTTTTTGAACTGGGGGATGATTGTTTAATCGTCCATGACTGGATATGTCACTACAGATCACTGTTTTTGATTCTTATTAAAATGAAAAATCGATTGTTTAATCGTTTATATATGATGATAATGATATGAAAATACAGAAAATCATAATTCTATTTGTTTTTCAGGTTTAAAAGTTTTAATTATTGGTTTTACTAAACAATTAAAACGTGAATGGCGACGAATAGCTCAGTCAATAAAATTAATGTGCAATAAACAATCGAATGTTTCATCAATTCTTTTATCATTTATTGATTTTATTGTTTCATATAAAACTCCAATATTTGTTATTCTTCGACCATTTCTTTTTCATTACGTAAGATTGATCGTTTTTTTTTTTAATAAATATTTCATTAATATTATTTGTTTTTTTTTTGTCTTCTTCTTCTATAGATGTATTCGATTTCATCGGATAATGATCGTGATTATGAAATGATTACAAATATTCAACAAAAACTTATTTTTGATAAAATAACACCAGCAAAATCAACAGGAGATATTTTAAATGGATTAATGCAAGAATTAAATCATTTGAAAGCTGAATTAACAGGTAAGAATTCTTTTTTATTTTATCTTTTTTATTTCAATAAAATAATAATTAATAAAAACAAAAAAAAATATCGAAAAATTCTGTAGCCGTATTATTAACGACTACACAAGAAATGAGTCGTACGGGTTCAGCTGGTGGAAAAAAGAGAATTATTTTATCGAGAACACCACGACGAAGAAAACGTGATGATATTCCTTTAGTTCGTCTATCATCACCTGGTTTGTTCATTTTCTTTTTGCACGAATTTTCGATTGAAGTTTAAAAGAAAGCATGTTTGACCATTGAACATGAGCACTTTGCTTTCTTTGAATTGATTTTCTAACAAAAAACATATTATTCTTTTTTTATTTTATTTTATTTTTTTTTTTATTTAGATGAATCGAAATCATTATTTCCTTATGAAACACGTCCAGTAGGTTCTGAAAAAGTTCGATTTGATACTGAAGCACTTGAACAAATGAAAGATCGTGATGGTGGTACGGGCACATCTGGTGCTACAACTGACGGACGATCGGCTGGTAGTCGACTAACAAATACTTATCGTATTCGACAACAACAATCAAGTGATAGTAGTTTAAATGCATCACCAAAAAAGAAAACAGAAAAAATTCGAGCTAAAGAAGCATTAGATATACTTGAAACATATCTTGCTCGTTATAGAATTCGATCAGGCGGTAAGATTTTATTTTCAAATATATAATTATTCAAGCTAAAAATAATAAGAACAAAGATTAATATATGTCAAAGTATTTACACGATTTATTGCTCAATAATTATTTCGAAGAAGAGAAAATGTACATACGAATTTGAGTCTCGATCTTTTCTAGACTTATATCCTGATTGTTATTATGACTACTCATTTGCTCATTTCTTTTCTTCTTGCAAATAATCAACAGAAAGTAAATCCTCAATATAAACAAAACGCTAATTAGAATATATTTTTTATTGAATCAATGAACAGTAAATTAGTGTGCATGATATTAAAGATTGATATTCTTATTTTGAGATAGAACTCTATATGATTTACCTAAGATAAAGAAGAAAAAAAATCATTCTTGAATATATCTCGAAATTGATTTTATAAACAAATCTCGTCGAATAAAGGCAAATTGTTATTGAATTAATAGCAAATAAATCTATTGTTTCTGTTCTTTTTCTTTGTAAGTATTCTTTTGAATAATTATTTTATTTTAATTAGCTGAAATACCTGATATACCAATAAAATGGACAAGAGATTTAACATTAAATCATCCTTTAGCAACAGATGAACCAACAACTCCTATTCTATCTGGTAAATCATATTAGTTTTATCATATGTCTTGTCATAACAAAAAAAAAAAAAATGATTTCTATTATAGAAAGTTCACATTTACAATCATCATCAAATCAAAATCAACTTAATCAACTATCACGTTCAATTACTGTTGCTGGTGACCGAAGTCCATCAACAACAACTGATCGATTAACACGACATTATAATAAAGTCGAAGAAATTGATGTTGATCAATCTACAACAACTAAAGAAGGTGCACATAAATTACGTACATTTCGTGGTCGAAAACGGGATACAGCACATTTCGATAAAAATCGATTAACAAAAGGTTTAATGCGACCACATGTAAGTTTTATTGTTTTTCTTTTGAATTTGATCGTTTCTTAATTTTTATTTTTCTAATAGATATCAAGTGAACCAGTTATGACATATGATGCTACAAAAGAAATGAATGATATATTTCGACCATCTAGGTAAATGAAATATTTTTATATAATTAAATTTATGTTTTTTCTAAATCGTTATTTTATTTTAATTTACTGTTCCAGTTGAATGAGAAAGAGAGATCGAGAGTAGGTCGATCTTTTTTTATTTTTGTTATTTTTATTTTTTTTATTTTTATTTTTTTATTCTATATTTCTCATAATACTCGTTTTTCTTTTTATGCCATCCTTACCTAATCGCATGGAGAACGAAATACATAAATATACCTGCTTTGCATGATAAATCTATAATATTTTTTAGAGAGAATGAATAGTTCAATTAATAGAATCTATTGCGATCCATATTCTTATTCCTTTTTTTTTCCCATTTATTTGATATATTTATGTATGTACATATATTTATCATATTTATTGTATTTAGACAAGCCAATAAACAAGATCTTACTTCAGTAATGAATGAAAAAACTTCTGATTTTGTTGATACACGTGCTTCCAATGATCAAAGTGTACTTGCTTCTGTTTTTAATAATACTACCAATGAACAAATATCTTCATCTTCTTCTATTCCTATGACAACAATTCTTCCAACACAAACAGAATCACATACAGAAGTATGGGTATCACGTTTACCTAATACACCATCTGTAACTGAAGCCGACTATGAATCTCAAGTTTAAGCTTGTTCTCAGGTCATTTGTTCACATTTTTTTTCTTGCTTTCACTTTCTTTCTCTGTTTAATTCGTTTTTAACAAATCTAAAGAAAATCAAAAATAGAAAACAAAAATTATTTTTAATTTAAATAAATATGTATTTTGTTCGTTATTATCTGGCTCTTTTTCTCTTTTTTTTTCTTTCTTTCTTTCTTTCTAATTTTGACGCTTTCTTTTTTTTCTGGCTTGTACTTTATACTATATAATAAATAATAATAAATATTGAATAGATAATCATCAATTGAAACTTATTTTATAAATTTGATAATCTTACTTAAAAGAAAAAGAATATCATTAATTGTTCTTTTTCAATTCTGTTTAATCCTAATCGATTAAAATCTTTTTTTGTTGTATAATAAAGACAAAAAAAAAATATTTTATTATATTCTTTTTCTCCTTGTGTTTTTTTTTTGTCATAATATACTATATTAATTGTATTAAAATTAATTGAAAATTTTATCAAATATAAGTTCTTTTGTTTTGAATATATTCTCTTATTGCAAAATATTTCCATTACAAGAACTAGTTATACACAATAGGAATTGATGAAAATTTATTTAGAAATAATTATATATTTTCATTAGTATATTACTCATTTCAAGCTAGCTACTAGATTGTTTCTATACACGTATTTATTCAAGTACGTAGTGAATATTATTTGTCATGTTTTTATTCTCGATGAATTGAAAGTTGATCTCATTTCTTTTATGTCTCTTAACAAGTTTGATTGAAATAGAAAGATAAATATTTTTTAACGATATAATACAAATAAATAGTTGTTGGAACATATTATGCATTGACTCAATACAGTAAAAGCAAGATATTATCATATATAAACAATGTTATCTGTATACGTATCATGAATATATTAATTGAGGGGCAAAGTTTCACTTTTTTTTTCTCTTGATACTTTAACACTTAGATTCTTAAACAGTGGTCAGTTGATCTTGACAACTAGTAATTTAATCTGAATATGATTATGAACGATTGAAATAATTGATGTTGTTCAATCTAATTTTCTTTTGTATTCCACTGATAAATCATTGCATCCATTGAACTTTTACTCGACATATTTCATAATCATCATTCAAGCGAATAATATTCTCTAAAGACATACATCAAAAGAAATTTTGAATGACTTTATTCCCATGATGACATGAAATCAATGAATTTTCATTTGAGCAAAACATAAATAGTTCATTAAGTTTATCAAAACAAGAAAAACATTTATTTTCTTTAAATTTTTTATTAACTTGTTCAATCTCTTAACATTATTATTTTTTATGTCAATTTGATTCAATTTGTTTTTATTTCATTGTTAGGTTTTATCTTCAAACGAAAAAGATTTATTTCTCTGTTCTTTTTTTTTTTTTTTTGATTCAACATTACGTAATAAAGTAGTAAAGAATGGAAATACTTTGAACATAATTGTCATCATTCAAGTTCTTTTTTTTTATTTTCAACATTTCAGCTGATTCATTTTTGAATTATATATGATTAAGCAGATCTTGTTGATTATATTGAAATTTGTACAAATTTGATATAATTTAACAAATTTTATCATTATGTACTTTTAATAGCTACATGGCAAAAGCCTTATTAATAGCACATGGCGACAGAGAGTAATTTGAGAGTTATGGTTTCTACCGCTCTAATCTTCATCTTGTCCGATGTCATTATCCAATTTGATTGATAGGCGAAGTGCTAGAGAAAACATCCATGTGCATATTAACAGTTGAAGTTTTTGCCTCATCCATTAATGCATTAGACTGATTAATCGCGTGCACAATGAAAAAATACAACAAGATTCTAAGAATAGATAGCCATCTGCCGATGCCGCCTTGTGAGCAATATGGGAGATGCTCTGTTTATTTACTACGCTTGCTTCCGATCTGTCTCATGTCCGTTTGACCTCTTGAAAGCGAGAAAGAAAGAGAGAAAGAAGGAGAAGCAAAGAGACGCAAAGAGAAACAAAAAAAAAAAAAAAGACATACAGATAGAACATTTGCTAAGCTTTTTGTGTATCGATCATTTGCTTTTTCTCTCCTCATCTCTCCATATAGTTGTCCTCTTCTATTTGTCTAATATTATTAAAACAAGAAACCAATGAATTCGACATTATATGATATCAATTCGTCACTAGGTATGACACATACGTCTGAAGCCATATCAGAACAGAATTCTAATCAACCATTAATAACAACAAATGATATAGATATAACTAATGAAGAAAAACATCTCTTATCCAATCATGATAATTCATTACACAGTAAGCATTCTTTTTATCTTTTTATCTATTATCAATTTGTCTTACATTTTCAAATCTAGATCATAACGATAATATGCCATTAGAATCATCAAACATAGCTAAAAAACCAGAATCATTAATATCAGTTTATGATAATTCTAATGATGGTGAACAACAATTAAAACAACAAATAAATCAAAATTCTTTACCTTTAGTTGGTATTCTTGGTCGTAATCAACGTTCACAAGCATTTACTAAACGTATTGTGTCATCTAGTTTTCCAAAACCAATACTATATGATAGAAATTCAATTGAAACAGATTTAAATGAAAAATCTAATTATGTATCATATGAAACATTTTGTAAACAATCACCATCAATTATTATTATAACAGATAATCAAATAAATAATATTGAAGATTTTTTAAATCAAAATAAACAACAATTAATAATTGATGCACGAGAATTAATTGATAAATATTTTTCAAAAAAATCTTCTCGTTTATTAATTCCTATACCAAAATCTTATCGTGCTTTTGGAAATTTATCAAATTGGGAAATTGAAAATGGTACACAACGTACTGGAGTTGCTATTGAACAAGGATCATCATTAAATTTAATTAAATTTATTCATGATTTAAATTGTTTTTCACGTGGAATTTATTTTCTTGATCAATATTCATATAATCATGAAGAAATAAAATCATTTCATAATTGTTTATTTCCATTAGTATCAACAATAATTATATTTAGTATATGTTTTATATTATCATTATTTGAAAATACAAATAATAAAGATTATCATCATTCAAATTTAACTTATTATCAAGCAAGTTCAATAACAGGATCAACAAGTATAACATTACTTTCATTATTATTTTTTATAAGACCAATACTTGAATTAATTGATTTTATTTATTCATTTATTTTAAAAAAACAAAATAAAAGTAAATTTATTTTTATTTTTTTTATTAAAATAATTGATGCATTTTTAATTATCATAGAAAATGATGTTCCACGTTTGATGTTTGTACAACGTTGGCTTCAATCACGACGATATTTAGCATGGTATTCATTAACATTTGCTTTTTTACATTTAATTTTTTTATTATTTTCAAAAAATGATTTCAAACAACATATATTCTTTTTGCCTGTCTTTTTTGGTTTATTTACATTAATACTTTTATGCATTTTATCATTTGTTTATTTTCCATGGATAAGTGAACATCTTTTATGGCGTGAATATCATTTATTAACAGCATATTTAGGACCATTTTGTCTTTTAATTGCTTTTATTCATGTTTATATTAGCTGGAAATATGACTATTATTATGCATATCACAAACATTTATTTAATTTAAAATTTCTTTCAATGTTTTTACCATTGATTGTATTATTGTTAAGTTTTATTATCTATGGAATCATTCATCCAATAATTAAATTGATTCAATGGAATCGAAGTCGACCAAGAACAACTAAGACGTCAGCAATAACAACAAAAGACACATCGCTTTTACCATAAGTGTATCATTACAATGTGTTTCGTCTTTTTGTTTGTGTTCTTTTTTAGCGTATATACATGTATGGGTGTGTGCGTGTGTGTGGAATGTTGTAGAAATAATAACTCGAAGAAAAGACGGAAAATAGAGAAAGATTATAGTTGTGGACATATATAATGAGAATAATCATCAGAAAACTAATCATTGATGTCTATGTAAGTGACAGATGGTTGGTGTCAAAAATGAAAAACAAGATGCGCTATAATAGGACAAACTCATGTTATGGGATAATTTCTTTTACATAAATCATAATTTCTGCAATTACGTTCAGCAGTTGAATTATAAAAGTTCTTTTTTCTTTCTCAAATTTGAGAATGTTAACTTCCATTGATGAAAGAGTCATGTACTCAAATAGTTCACGTACATTAAGTAATATTTTTCAAAATCTTTTTCTAGAATTATTTTTCTTAATAATTTTAAGAGATTGATACATGTTACATATAATTCATATATAAAATGGTTCCATTTTTTATTAGAAATGGAAATTTATAACTTGCTGTTAGTGATCGAATTCAATTATTATTTTTTAAAACTGGTAATATAACATAAAAATATGATATAAACAGGGTGTTTCATAAGTCTCAAGGCTTGACAAAACTTAGTTCTGATGTAAACAAAAAATAATCTTCAACCAAATATTTTGATACGAGGTTTGAGTACTCGTGATGCTCTTTCAAATGGCGAGTTATTAAATTATATCATCTCTTGTAATAATAAAAATATAAACATAACATGATAATGTCATGATAAACTTTTCAAAATCGATCAATATGATGCAGAGCGTATTTCGTACATATTTCGGCGTAGGTAAATGATAAAATCTTGACTTTTCTTTTAAAAGATAATGCGCCGTGAAAAGTTCTACAAAAATGTCTGAACAAATACTTTCTGACCTGTTTTGATGGCCAACTTCATACTGAAAACGAATAACCTACATGATAGTGCTACTTCTCATCGTATTGAGTATAATAAAAAAATATTTCGAAGACTTTTTTGTTTTGCACTTGAAGTCTTTTTTTTGCTCAGGTTTTGTAGAGCTTTTCATGACGCATCTTTTTAAAAAAATTCAAGATTTTATCTTTTTCGGAAGCTGAGATATATACAAAATAAAAAAAGTCTTCGAAACATTGTTTTGTTATACTCAATACGATGAGAAGTA